CACAGTTGATCTCCGTGCTCCTTAACCAGTTAGCTCATTTACTGATCCAAGGCTCAAAATATGTTTGTTGCTGATCAGGTGAAACTCAATTGTTTGTGTTCTTTGCTGTCCGTTTATTGCGGAGTGCAACTGACACAGTGAAGAGGGCAAACTGTGGCTCTTCAAGCTTCTCACCTCTCCCCCCTCTCTTTGCCCCCACTCCTCATTATGGCCCCCAGCTGTAGCCTAATGCCCCTACATTCTCCTAATTACTCCAATTAAGCTGTGATTACCCACAGTTGCACTCATGCTCAGTCTAGTGGCCTAGCTGTATTATAGCAGCTGTTGAGATGAGTTAAGATACTGCACAGAAAAAGACCATATGACATGGCTGCATGTAAAAAAAGAAGAAAAAAAGACAGACTTCCTCACACAAACCTTCCATGGACACCCCTCTCCCCAAAACGACACCCCTAGGAACTAGGACTCTGTTTGGAGTTAAAAATTTATTTTGTTATTTTTACCAACATCCTATGCGGGTCATTTAAACGCTGATCATTGATGGTTAGATTTTATGTTGGTGTAAATAGCTGTTCATTAATTCTTCTTTCAACAGGAAGACATCTGAAGGCCTGCAGCCTGCCTGCATCCAGAAGCTGCACCATTATGCACACGTTACCACCCTAGCAGAGCTGTGTGCCATTGAGAGACAGAACGAGCAACACATACTATGAAATATTCAGGGTATCCAGCTGGGCTTTCACTGCATACATAATCATTCTCATTTCTGTGCAGCCAATGTAGAAAATGGTGTGCTCTACTGACACAACACGCAGCATATGAAGAAGCGCAGGTAAGGGTGAACCGCCTAACCACTACTGTAGTGCTGTACATTAACTGTAATGCCTTCCACACATTGGAATAGATAAGACTTAAACGCAGTCAGTATATCATTGCTCAGCTCACAGCACAAGCTTTATCCTTGTCTGTCTTTTCCCTCGCTAGCATCCCCTTTTTCACTCCGTCTCCCCAACACACGTCCCCTCCCCCCGCTCCCTTTCAGCACACCCCCACCCGCACCCCCGAATGCCCCCCCCCCCTCTGTTCTCCATTTCAGTCGAGTTCTCCATGTGAGCCGCAATCCCTCATGCTGTCAGCCCCCCCTCTCCCTCTCTCTGTAGACAGACAGGATTAGCATTTTAATTGCATCAGCTCCCTTGGGTATTCTCAGCCTTTCACTGGGAGAGAGCAAGGGAGCGAGGGAGTGAGAGAGAGGAGCAAAGAGAAGGAAAAAAGAGAGAGGGGGAAAAAAGGTAAGAAGAGAGGCTAGAAGGAGAACCAAGGAGAATTGAAAAAAAGGAGTCACAGGAGAAGATGTGTGTGCAAGAGGATGAGACTAAGCGAGAGACAGAGAGAGAAGGAGAGAGAGAGGAAGAGAGAGACAACGAGAGGCAATAAGAAATACAGAATTTTTAGTACAGACGTGCCAGAGATTGAGAGAGCGACAAAGAGAGAATTGTGAAAACATCTTTTTTTTTTTCTTTCATTAAAAAAGGGAATACATATTCGGTTGAATGACTGGAACCAGACTTCACCTTTGTAGTACTTTTCATGTATTAACAAATGCAATTTTAAACAATGCAAAACATGGAGAATGCTTGCTAAAATGCTGTTTTAGAAGAAGAAGAATAAAACAGAATTAAATCCCAGGTGGGAATCTACAAATTTAAACAGAATAAATTAATTTCCCCGAGTTTAGAAAGTCTGATGTTTGACCTCTACTCTATGGAATAGTTTTTATCAAAGTATCTCACCTAAAGCTTTACTTAATACAGTTACAAACATCTTGGACCATGTTTACAGCTCACCACTGAGTGAATTCAATAAATGCAACTGTCCAGTTGAGTTCCCTCATGATCTCCAAAACAAAAGACTTTAAGTCTATAACTCCACAGTTTAATATATCAACTACTTTTGTGTCCAGATGAATGTACCAACTCCCTATTAAAAGTTAAACTCCACTTATAACACCACATCAATCAGGTAACCAGGCAATGGATTATATGCTTTATGTCCTACTTTCACCTTCTTACGTATGCCAAAGTTCTTGTTTGTGCCAAAACACAGTAGAGAAGCTAAATCTTTATTCATCCTTATTTTGCAACACATGCATGGACATGGACAAAGTAGGTTTTTAAAACCTACTTTGTCCAGTTGCTTTAATTTAACACATTATTCATAAGAATAAGGCTGTTTTTTTAGGTTGCTTCTGGGATATGAAAATATAGTTGTTGTTTTTTTAATGTAAGGCTCTTTACCAAAGGGAATTAGAGATAAATTAGCAAATGCAACGGACTGAGTAACCAGCTCTTCTATGAGGATGTTTTTGAAGGAGCACAGTCAAAATTAATGAGGCCAACCCATATTTTGCTACTTTAGGAAACTTGTGCTAATCAGCGTAACAAAACTGGCAAAGAGGAAGAGAAAGAGAGACGGGGAGAGGGAGAAAGGGGTGGGGGTATGTATTTAGAGTAAACACAGTGTGGTCTGATTAAGGTGTGAATTGGAGAACTCACACCTTGGGCAAACACAACACTTCAGTCGAACACATCATCAATCAGCCCTTAATTAACTAAAGAGAGAGGCTTGGACACTCCTGCGATGAATACGTGTACCCCCTTGAATGGTTACACACAAACCGCGACGAACACAAACACACACACACACACTAATGAGGGATCAATGTGTGTTGTCACTTAATCTGCACAAATAGAGGCAAATAAGAAATATTTTTTAGAACAAAAGAATCACTGCACATATATACAGATTTTAAGAGGATAGGAGTAGACAAGTCACTAATGAATCAAGGGTATGTCAAACTATTGTTATTATTTTATTTTTCAAAATTGAAGAAAGAGCACACGTTGAAAAGCTGGCCAATTGCTACTCAACCTCAACCAGCCTTAGAGGTTACAAAGATGATTTGCTTGTTCTTCAGCTGTATGTCTAGCTACTCACAATTAACACAGTGAAGTGTCCAATTACAGAGCT